CCGCCGTTAGAGCCCGCCAGCACTATATTATTCCCTGACACGGCGTGGCGTGGCGTGGCGTAGTATGGTGCGGTGTGGTATGGCATGGCGTACTGTAAAACGACGCGGCGTGAGCAGAAGAGAAACGGAGAAAGTGAAAGAGAGAAGTTCGGGAAGGGGAAGGAGAGAAAGAGGGGGAGAGAAAGATAGAAGCGGAAGAAGGAGGCGCAAAGAGGACAGGGATACAACAGAACGGTTGGGGTAGGAAGGGTGAAAGGCGAGAGAATACGAAAAGAGAAAACAAGAGTAAGAAGGAGAGGAGCGGGGAGAGAAAAAGGGAGAAAGAGACGCGGAAGAATTGGAGGGAGATAGAAAACCGGTACACTCGACTGCTGATAAACTACCCTCTGCGCTCACTTCGCAGGTATAATAAAATTATATCTGGTCGGCTGTATCGCGATTCTGGCTGCGAGCGGCGAGGTCGGCACAAAGTTGCCGCCTGCGCGCCTACGGCGGCCGTGATAAATAACGTTACGCAGGCCGAGAAGCGGCGGGCTGCATAAGCATGGCCCTGATTCCACGTCGCGGCACTTCTCGAGTCACGGCCACGCCATGGTAAGCCGCACCGTAGCCACGCCGCGCCGCGCCGTGCCACTACCGCGGCTGCGGCCAGCACGCGGACACGGACGTGTACCGGTGTACCACCATCGCTTTCAGAACTGCTGCTGCTGCCGCCGCTGCTGTTGCTGTTCCTGTTCCTGTTGCTGTTGCTGGACTATAGCTGGATTTCGAACGCGCATACAATCACGATCTTTCTACAAGATCCTAACACCTTTCCTATGTGTAGCCCGAAGCACGTGGAACGTCCATTTCGCTTCGTTATACGCTCTGGCAAACGAGCGAACACGCCAAAGCCAAAATCAACGCCAGAGGTTGAGCGCTGTGCACTTCTGTGCGCTTCACTCAACTCGTTCGTAAATTATAAGTCTTGGGGACATGGTTCGGCTTGAAATACTGGTACTGACACGCGCAGTGGGACGCGGATGCATAAACGCGCCGACGAACTGGAAAACGACGCAGCGGCTTTCGAACAGGGACGTCCGGAACGTTCGTTCCAGTTAGCGCGGAACGTCGTATATGCGACGTGAATACGACATCGCGTGACAGTCCACTCGTACACTCCGCTTCGTCGACTTTATCGGACGCGATACCGTGATTCAGGCATTCGACGATGGTATCATCGCACGCCTGCCGCTTCGAGCAGGTGAATTTATTCCTTTTTCAAACTGACTTTAACATGACCGCCATTCTAGATCGATCTTTGTTATATTTCCTCCACCCGATATTTACGAGTCTTTGAAACGTATCTAAAAATATACGTGTAGCTACATATTTTCATACTTTAAAGTATTTTAACATTTAAATCGAGTAAATGACAAGGAAAATTGACGTGTCTAAAATTTTCTATTTAAACTGACATGACATATTGCTGGAAAACTGCCAAAGAATCATCCCACTCATCAGCATTTAAAGTACGTTCAAGATGCATTGCCAAACGTGCCAGTGATTAACAGATGCCGCAGTTGTTAGCAACTACCAACCAAATCGAGGCTTATCACGGATTACATCTCCCCGAGGGACTCTTACTTCCTACGACGAAACTAGGATCTATACTTGGATGCCGGATTTCGAATATTATACCTTGCCTGCCACTTCCCGCTGTCATGGCTTATGTCATCCTGTCTTTTCTTTACCTGTCAAGTAGAAAGACACAACCTGTTCCCTAATGGGAAAGCTCCTTTGCTAGAATAAAGGGGACGTTATTTTCGTAGGATTGATATCGGGCAAATACATTGCATTGTAAAATTAGTAATATCTTTAAGGAATGTTATAGATCCTATATCAACAACAAACAGCGAATGATCCTTCGCATCAAGAGAATTTTCTGTGCATAATTCCGAAAATATTTTTAAGGTGATATTATATTTATAGCAGTGAATTTGGAAGAGAACACATCAGAACAAAGTTAACACAGTCATTTCGAAAATTCTTCTGTCAAACATACCAAGTAAAATGGCAGGCTAAGAGAGACTCGTGAATGCAATATGTATTACGCGCATGAAGATAATATAGAGCCTCAGGGAGGTGGTGGCTGACTGAGTTTATTCCAAAAGACAACAATAGAATGCATCGGTAGAGCGTATTGTATGCAGGAGGGCGTGGTATGGTTTACAATACCTGCTGCATTATGTATCTCATGCCCGTGGTTATCTCTGTGTGTTGTAATCCTAAACAACCATCTATACACGCACTTCATGTGGTAGCTACAATTCTAACAACAGTGTGATTCACTTATAGATGGCCCAAATCATTTTTTAAAATTATTTACTCACTATTCTACCGAATATTGGCACTATTGACGAAGTCACTCGAGTTATTCCTTGATAAGTTTCGAATAATAAATTTTATATGGAGGAATATTTACTACAGCGTATTAGATTTTGTCTATAGAATTAAATTCTTCATTTCGAAGTGAGATATAAGGCAGATATAAAAAGTATTCGTATTTTTTATAATATCAGAATTTATATAAATGTTATACTTTCGGTAAATATTTGCGAAAGTGTACCAAAGTGTACCAAGCTTTACCGAGCCTAAAATAAAAGCGTTCGGTATATTTATTTACATTCATTTCTTTTGACTTTTAGGATTATTTCCTTTCATGTTAAAACTCATGAAAAAAGGTAAATTACCAGTCATAGGACAAAGGAGCGATAAAACGAAAAACGCGACTGCAGGTTAATATGTATAATGTATACTGCCCAATTGTATGATAGTTTAAAAGATTCAAATCTAAATGGCCGTGTTATAAATGTTACCATAAAACAACTGGACAGATTCAAGCTTATACTCGATGCTGAGCAAAAGAATGAACTAAATGAATACTTCGACAGAGGAAAGCTACTTTTTACATAACTTTTGTCTTAAATTTAAGGCTTCTAATATTGCGAATATAATTCGGGAAAAAATCATATTCCTTTTTATAACTTTGGTGTGAGTTAATATATGTTGCATTAATCACTACAGCTCATTAATCACTATTTAATAAGTTTTGTGGAATTTATCCGGAAAAGGGATACCCGCTAATGTCCGCTGTAAGAAGATACGTTATAATTGCATGGTACTGTTTGTAGTTATTAGAAAGAAAAATAGTGAATATAAATATTAAGTCGGACTGCTAGTTGATTTCGTTCTTTCATAATGGTATAAAAACATCACTTTCCTGGTGTGAAATGGGTAATATTTTATTTTCTTAATAGTCGCACATTTAGTCATATAAAAAATGCAGCAAAACGAGCAACAGATAATCTTAATGACGCTAAGTAAGCTGTAATAGAAAGGAGGATAGAAGCCAGAAAAACGGTGCTTTGAGAAGCATCAGAAAGGAAGAAAATGGGTGTATAAATCTGGAGAGTCGGGAACATCGTCTAGCAGCTGGTTTCCGTCACTCATGCGGTTCCTTTGATCTTCCACGCGTCTACCCCGCACTTAGGCGCGTTTTCTAACTTAATTTCAACTCGGTTGCACGCCTAACACTGCTCTCAGTTGCAGTTTGTTTCCGTTGCGGCAGAATGTCAAAGACACTGAGATTTCGGAATTCATCCCATCTCGTTTGCTCGATGACAAAGGCGAACCACTACGGCTTACGTTACACTTTCATTTCTCCTTTAATTAAGGCTTTTCAAGGTTTATTACAAATTTTACCGTGCATGTAATATTTAACGGTAGTTACGAATATTTCAGAAAATGTAAGATAGATATAGAAAGGAAAACGAAAATAAAAATAAAAATGAAATAAATTTGTTATATGTATGTAGACATAGTCTATAGTCTATTACGACTATATGTACGTATATTAAATCTACTTTAGGTTGGAATAAACTTTTCGTAACTTGTATTTTTACTTGTCCTATATAACATTTATTCTTCCTCTCTTTCTCTCTTCGTTTCGTGTTGAATTTCTCTATTCCCTTTATTAACTTTTTATTATTTATTTAAATTTCTTTTCTTTAATTAAAAAATATTTAAAAATTATTTTTAAATTTATTTATATAATCTAAACTAATAATTTGAACAACGAAAATAATGATAATAATAATGACAATAACGACATATTGCCGTAGAGTGTTTGCTTTCTACAACAGAAATTGTACTCAATACGAAAGAGATATTTCTACCTATCGTTGATGTGAATTATGTTCGTTGTATATAATTTGGATGGTTCTCGTAACAAGAAAGTAAATATAAACGACATCGAATAAAGCTAATGGACACGTTTAAAAATCGAAGGTATGCACTACCGTCCCTCTTAATTAAGTCTCTTAGTCCTCAAATATAGAACGTCTGTTGGCAACGTCGTGAAACGCTTTGTAATGTCGCTGACGTCCGAGAAGACACAAAACACGCCGAACACAGGCGTGCCATTTGTCATTCCTACAATTAAGGTCGAATTTGTGACAACCACTTAACGGAATAATGCATCAGAAGACTGGTTTTTGGCTCCTCTTAATAGTCCAAAGACACACCGTAGAATGTTAATGCACAAGGACTTCTTTGACGTTTGGCTCGAACGAAACGA